CACTCTCCCCCTTGGTCCCCTTCTCCCTCCTCCTCCTACCGGTCGAGCTCCACCATAGCCGAGGTGGAAGCTCCCGGCTTCTTCCTCCCAGCAGCGCTGTGGCAGCCAGCGCTCTTCCAACCAGCGCTCCAACAGCGTGACGCCCAACTCGCACACTGAAGAATGAGGTTGAGCTCTTGCCTCAGCCTCTTGATATAGCGGTCTGCTTGCCACCTGGGCGGTGACTTCCAGGCCGCTCAAACGCCCAAGCAACCGGTACCTCCTCCCTTTCGGAGGGAAACATCGTTGCAGACTCTGATATTGCCCGCACAGGCTCTAGACTCAGACTATGGACTGGCACCGGCCTAGACCTAGCCTGCCGCTACTAGGCCTCTAAAAATTCCAACTTTGTCTTCTTCTGCTCGGCCTCGAGTACCCGGCACATCTACTGCTACTGGGTGCGGTACCGGCCTACCTGCTACTTGAGTGTGTTTTCGCTGCTCTAAGCACCGCGGGCCCCTGGCACCACTACTTGAGTGTTTTCCCTGCTGCAACCCTCAATGCCACGGCCACAGGTAAGTACCGGCCCTACGGGCCTGCCAAACAAGCAAGTACCCTTGCGGGTCACACACACACTCATGCCGACAAGCACTCAGACAGGCATGCACACATATAGACTTAGACAACACAGCGGAATGCGGGAATCTCAGCAAGGCATCCATTCCCTCGGCAGAACTTCAAAAATCAGCGGTGTTCTCAGTCTGTGTTATGACGGGTGATTACAGTTGTGTGTATATGTGTGCCGAGAGGCTATGTACATTTGTATGAGTCCGTAGGCTATGTGTATATATGTTCACGAGCCATATTTGTGTCTGACCGAAGGCTATGTGTGTTGTGTGTAACTGTATAGCAAGATGTATGTGCCCGAAGGCCAGGTATGTGTAGTACTATGTAGAGGGAACTATGTGTTCGTTGAAGAGATGACAGGCCAAGCTGCACAATAACCCCCCCAAAGTCCCAAGCCAGACTCAAACCCATGATCTATGACATGTGACCTGAAGACTCTACCATTTGAGCAACAATCGCAAACGGCACCTGTGTGTGATATGCCAGACTGGGGAGATCAACAGAACAACCACAAGCAATAGCGACAAGTAACCCACGCAGTATCAAGACCCGACAGACAACACCGTGGACAACCCTTGGGTGGTGCGATGTCGGCCCGAATACCCTTACAAGGGTATTTGGGCACATATTTGCAGCTTACAGGAAGAACGTTTTTTGAGGATATCTAGGGGCGCGTCCCATTTGTGTTGATTAGAGAGTGTGTGAGTGTGCACTTTGCGGGCACGCGCTAGCTTGACCGAACCTTGATCAAGGGAGACTACGAGGCGCCTGTAGGACAAGTTAGCGCTAGGCTAGAATTTCTGAGGCAGTCGCGACCCCGCACGCACGAACGAAGTTATGGGCAGCACAGGGTTGGTCAGGTAGAACTGGGACTAGAGGTAAATGTTGCCCGACCTATTGGAAACCGACATTCTTGGGGCCGCGCCGTGTGAGGGCGCACAAAGCACAGGGAGACTGTGCGGTATCGGCAGTTAAAGCTGCAGCGAGGGCCACGCAAGGGGGGGGTGTGAACTGGCGCCAAGACCGGGGGTCTCCAATAAAGGGGGTAGTAAAAGGGCGGCCTCCTGGACGCATGCGGCAAATATAAAGGCTTTGGCCTTCGGACGCGGCATTATAGAGGCTACTAGCGTGACATACCGAGTAAGATCCGGTCCCCGACGGCATGTGCGCAAGTACGGGGTCTTGGGATTGGAGGGGAAGTCAAGCGGCAGCCTTAACGCTGCTGCCGCAGGCCCAGGCTGGCCTCAGTTACCATTCAGATACCGGGCCGTGCACAGCCTGTCCAGGCTTGGGCTTAGCCCTATAGGTTACGTCATTGAACTTTCACCACGCGGATTCTGGAATCGAGGCCAGCAGCGAGCGGTGGAGGAGCGAAGGAGCGCAGTTTGAAGGAAACTGAGGGGAGCTGAGGGGTTGAGGGTCCCGCGGGACTATCCCCCTTAGTTTTGCTGGGGGGATCCGATCATGGGCCCGCAAGGTAGGACCAAGTACCAGCGGTCCCCTCCCCCATCCGGTTTTTCCTTTCCTTATTATTTTTTATCTCTGAGTTTCTAAATTTTTATTTTTGTTTTTCCTATTTTTATTTTTTCTTGCTAGTTGGGACGAGGTCCGGTACCGTACTGGGACCTGCAGTGAAGCCCAGCAGCTTAGTTCAGTGGATACACCCACGAGCTGGTGCCTGGGTGCAGTCCTTTGGGACATCCGTTAAAATTGGAACGATAC